GGTCTTGGCCATGTGCAAGCCCTCTCGTGGGCGGCTGTGCAGAGCAGGTAGCTTGTGAGCTGGGGGAACTTACACAGAATCGTGCTTCCAGGGTGCAAGGAGGAGATGGACTCACGGAGCCTTTTTCCCCAGAACTATTTGGGCACAGTGTGAGAGCTGCAGATTCTGCCATCACCTGGACCGTGCCCATGAGCACTCGACTGGCTGACAAAGCCATGCTGGGCTAATGGACAACACTTCAAAGATGAAGGGAGAACAGCTCAGACCAGAGGCTGGCCTGCAGCTTTCCCAGCGGTGATGGGAGAATCAAGCAGTGGAACAGCTGCCGCACTCCAGTTTCCACTGAGTCAGGGGGGTGGCCACAGACCTGGGCAGAGAGAAGGGCAGTGGCAACCAAACCTATCAAAGGCATACCCACAGCAAATGTCTCATCTCATGAGGGGGTTTCCATTGTGGGAATTTGATGGCACACTGAACTAGGACCTGCCATCAGCAGGACATCCCGGGTCTAGAAGGAGATATCCCGGGAGCACGAAATGGTGGACATAGAGTCTGCAGCAAGGCAGACCTGGGCTGACTCTGGACATCTTCCTCCTGCACACAGCAGGGAGTGAGCTGAGGCTGGAACCTTGGAGGCCGCGGGCATCTAGACAGGATCAGATACTGACCATGGGCTTCACTTTCCAGGTAGGCACCAGTGCTCAGAGTCCCATGAGAGACAGGAAGGCACCGCCCAGGTTTGCAAGGCTGGCTGTCACTTCTGCAGACCCGGAGTTCAATTTGAAACCCATAACCCCCGACGGGCAGAGATCATCTTCAGAGTAATGATTTGATAGAGACATGGAACGGGAACTAACACATGGGCTGTCTAAAGGGGTGGAGTGGAGACAGGCAGGACAGGCTGGTCCAGCCTTCATGGGCTCAGCACAGGAGTGCCAAAGCAGAGGCCCCCACGCTGGTGGAGCTGGGAATTAGGGCAGAGGATGCTCTCCCAGCCCGAGGCTGTTCCCTTGATGTTCCATGTCACCCACATTACTTCCCATCACTAGACGCAGTAGTCAGAGGACCAGGGCTGCCACTGCAGGCCTGGGAGAAGGGAGGTCCCTAAGGGTCTGGGGCACTGTGCCTTCCCCTCTCTGGAAAAACCCCCAGTGCCCTGTATGGTGCAGTGGTAAAAGTCGCCCCTCACTCAGCACCTGGGCAAAGCCCCTGGCCACTGCAGGAACAGGGTGACGCAGGAGGCTCCTGGGGACTGGCAAGAGCCCATGGCAGAGGCCACAGAATGGGCAAAACTAATGCCACCCCCTGAGTAGAGACGTGGGTAGAGATAAAAGGAAGAAGCCAAGGCAAAGGCAGGAGCAGGCAGTGAGGAGGAAGGAAGCCTGACATCACGTGGAAGGCTCAGGCCAGGAGACGCAGGTCTCAGCTCAAGCCAAGGCTGCGGGGCTCTTGGTAGCACCAGCCTCTCATCTGACCAGCAGGATGGGAGAGAGCGCAGATGGGATTCCCTCCGCCTAAGAAGGTCTCCACATGGTGCAGGGCAGGCTGAACAGGTGGAAAAGAGAGGGTACCCACTAAGGGCCAGCATTTATTGACGGTTATAATTGACTGTAAGGGTTTAGCCAGCCAGAGGCCAGGGGTAGCTCTGCAGCACAATGAGAAATATATATATATATGTGTTCTCAGTTCCAAATTCCTGACAGAGCTCCTACCTCCCCACACCCTCCTGAGCCTAGAGGACCCTAACATCTGGGGTTGACCTGGTCCTACACAGAGCTCCTACCTCACCACACCCTCCTGACCCTAGAGGACCCTAACATCTGGGGTTGACCTGGTCCTGCACAGAGCTCCTACCTCACCTCACCCTCCTGACCCTAGAGGACCCTAACATCTGGGGTTGTCCTGGTCCTGCACAGAGCTCCTACCTCCCCACACCCTCCTGA